GGTCACGACTGGACCTAATGGTCAGGGTTCCCTTTACCTTTCTGTTCTATACATCAGTTTCCCTCAACCTGATGTGCTCTGGATGTTTTGGAATACAGTGGTGTTTTGGTTCTCAAATGCCTTGGTTCTCAAACTCCAAAAACCCAGAAGTAAGTGTTCCGGTTTTTGAACGTTTTTTGGAAGCCGAGCGGCTGTTGGCTATTATTTCCAGGGCGCCTGCGCCAATCAGAAGCTGTGCCTTGGTTTTTGAACATTTCAGAAGTCAAATGGACTTCCGAACTGATTAAGTTTGGCGCTTTTGTTGTTTATTTTGCTTTTTTGTTTTGAGGCGTTTTCGATTAATTTGTTTTTGTGACTGCGTGGAACCCGGTTCAGCTACTGATTGATTGATTATGTGACTGCGGAAATGGATAAAAGCCCCCCATCTAAACAATGACCATCATCAGTGCAGTTAAGAAAATAATAATGATTTTTATTTTTATCACCTACAATACCGTCTTATTTATTTTATAGCACAGTACATTGATTATTGCTTTCATTTTATGGATCAATGGTCTTGTTAGATAGTAAAATCCATGTCAAATTGCTGTTTTAGGGTTTTTTCAAAAAGTCTGGAACGGATTAATCAGATTTGCATTACTTTCTATGGGAAAGCGCGCCTTGGTTTTGGAACGCTTTGGTTTTGGAACTGACTTCCAGAACGGATTAAATTTGAGAACCAAGGTACCACTGGATATGAACCCCACCCATCAGCCCCCGCCAGTGCATGGACAATCACGCTTGGCCTCAAGTTTCTCAGCTGGAAAATGGGAAGATTTAGCACCCTGCCTAACAGAAAGGAAGGAGCGTGTTAGGAGTGCACTGGATAACAAAACAGTATCTTGCATGACATTCTTAACATGATGGCCTGGGCTTCGGGGTGTTAAGTGATTTTATAATCTTAATCTAGCAGAGAGAGGACATCATCCTGCATTTAATAATTATTTTTAGCGTTTTGATCTTGGGATGCCACCACCGGTTTTGAAAAGAACTCGCAGGAAGAGAGAGCCTTTCATCATAAACGTAACAAGAGGGCATGAGAGGTATCTGCCACTCAAATCAGGAATGGCAAATTTAGAGGTTGACTGGGGACATATCAGTTAAAAGGTGACAAAGGGTTTTCCTGTTATGCATCTTGAGAGAAGGTCAAGGCAAATTGCTGTGAATCTCAGGGCACCCCACACATTTTGCAGAAGTCACCCACTTTCTATCTGAGCCACTTATTATTGCACGATGAGTAAACCCCAGCAAATCCCACACTGGAAAAACTACTCAAAAGGAAGTGGTATTTTTCACTTCTTCCATCCGCAGAGCGCAGTGCGCTTCTGTAGGGTGATCGTATTTCAAGAACTGAAAATCCGGGAGCAAAAGTTGTGGAGCTTTTCTGCAAAATCTCCACCCCCACCCCCCAAAGAGAAGTTTTAAAACTATTTTTACGGAAATCCGCCAAAAAAAATCCAAAACAGTTCTGATATGGACTGCCATATGCAAACATTTAAACTAGTTTCCGAAATGCTCGTATGCCATTTTCGATGGATGAATCCTGGCTAGGTCCGGAAAATTATGGACGTATGGCAGCCCTAAATTCTGCCTTTCGTGATATATATCACAAGTGCTTCAAACTAATAATAATATTTGTACCCCGCGCATCTGACTGTGTTGCTCCAGCCCAGGCATCCCCAAACTCAGCCCTCCAGCTGTTTTGGGACTACAGTTCCCATCATCCCTGACCACTGGTCCTGTTAGCTATGGATGGTGGGAGTTGTAGTCCCCAAAACAGCTGGAAGGCCGAGTTTGGGGGTGCCTACGAAGGTAAAAACATAACAATAAGCATGAAAAAAATTCCCTATACAGGGCTGCCCTCAGATGTCTTCTAAATAAATAACCCAGAGATGCATTTTAAATAAAAGGACACATTCTACTCATGTAAAAACACGCTGATTCCCGGACTGTCCGTGGGCAGGACTGAGAAGGTGTGATTGGGTCGAAGAACTACCGACGAAAGAAGAATGGCAGGCGAAATTAATGGACTATGGAGAATTAGATAAGATGACAGGAAGGATCTGAAACCTGCGGGACCAGAGATTCTCAGAGGACTGGAGTAAATATGTGAACTATTTGAAAAGCAATTGTAATAAACAGATTATGCTAGTAGGACTGCAATAAGTTTTGCAAAGAGGATTATGCGAAATATTGCAGAGAAGACTTTGAAAAGAGTTATTAGTTCAGGACGATTAAAAGTACAGTGGTACCTCTGGTTGCGAACGGGATCCCTTCCGGAGCCCCATTCGCAACATGAGCAGAACGCAACCTGCGTGTGCGCGTTGCAATTTGCCACTTCTGCGCATGACGTCCTTTTGCTCATCTGTGCGAGCAGCGAAACCCACCCAGAAGTAACCCTTTCCGGTACTTCCGGGTCGCCGTGGGACGCAACCTGAAAACGCTCAACGTGAAGCAAACGTAACATGAGGTATGACTGTAATAGAGAAATTAAGAAATGTAGATTAAGTGATAAAGATTGAAAAATCTTCAGATGTGGTTGATGGAAGTCCAAAACATTGTACAGTGGTACCTCGGGTTACAGATGCTTCAGGTTACAGACGCTTCAGGTTACAGACTCCGTTAACCCAGAAATAGTACCTCGGGTTAATAACTTTTCTTCAGGATGAGAACTGAAATCGCACGGAGGCAGCGGGAGGCCCCATTAGCTAAAGTGGTGCTTCAGGTTAAGAACGGACCTCCAGAACGAATTAAGTATGTAACCAGAGGTACCACTGTATAAGATAAGAAAGTGTGTTATATGATTTTTGGAAATTATTTGCAAAAATCAATAAAAATATTTTTTTTTAAAAAAAGAGAGAAGGTGATTGGGCCGGATCCGGCCCCTGGGCCTTAGGTTGCCTACCCCGGTATAGAACGTCAAACAAACACAGCTGGGAAAGACTGGAGGATCTCCGTGTGGTTTTTCTGAGTCACAGAAGTAGCAAGGAGGTGGTTTGAGCTGAAGGCACTCACGCCATGAATGACTCCCTCGGGAAAGGATTTACTGGCAAGCCCTGCATTTTTGCACCCAAAACATGTTTTCAAGATTTATTTATTTTTCTGAGAGGGTGCAAAAAAATATTTAAAATCCCCTATGTAGCATGGGTGTAGCCAGGACTCAGGGGTACAAACTTCTATAAAATAACACACACACCCCATAATCCATCCCATAATGCAGTGCTCAAACACGGTTTGAATGGCAATACCCATCCTTTTTCTGCGGGGAGGCCCCTCAAATATTTTATTAGGGGGGGAGGCAAAGGGACCTCGGCCCTTAGGAGTTGGTTCCTATGTCAGGATTTGCGCTTGGGGGGCAGGACATCCCACCTGTCATCACCTCTGTCGAGCAGATTCAGAATGAGATGCCTCGACAACGGTGGTTTTAAATTACCGTATTTTTTGCTCTATAAGACTCACTTTTTCCCTCCTAAAAAGTAAGGGGAAATGTGTGTGGATCTTGTGGAGCGAATGCAGGCTGCGCAGCTATCCCAGAAGCCAGGACAGCAAGAGGGATTGCTGCTTTCGCTGCGCAGCGATCCCACTTGCTGTTCTGGCTTCTGAGATTCAGAATATTTTTTTTCTTGTTTTCCTCCTCCAAAAACTAGGTGCGTCCTGTGGTCTGGTGCGTCTTATAGAGCGAAAAATACGGCACTTTGTTTTGACGCCAAGGGCTCAGAAAAAAAATCCGTCATTTTTTATTTCAAATATCCTATTTCTACTTTTAGTTAAGTATTTTTATTTATTTACTTGATGGGGGGGCAGCTATCCCCCTGCCCCCTCCCCCAGCTATGCTCATGCTAAGTGGCTTGTTGCAATTTGTCCACCCCCCTGATAAACTGCGGCTTAAGCCCCCACGTTTAAATACCGTATTTTTTGCTCTCTAAGACTCACTTTTTCCCTCCTAAAAAGTAAGGCGAAATGTGTGTGCGTCTTATGGAGCAAATGCAGGCTGCGCAGCTATCCCAGAAGCCAGAACAGCAAGAGGGATTGCTGCTTTCGCTGCGCAGCGATCCCTCTTGTTATTCTGGCTTCTGAGATTCAGAATATTTTTTTTCTTGTTTTCCTCCTCCAAAAACCAGTCTTACGGTCTGGTGCATCTTATAGAGCGAAAAATACGGTATTTCCTTCACTGCAGGTCGTGGGACGAGATGACAATTTCGGGCGCCTTCTAGCTCTCCAGTTCTACAAATCTTTTATTTGTCAGCGTAGCATCAGAGATTGCACTGCAAGTGTGGTGATAAAGTGGAATGGTTTTCAAGCGTCTCGAAAACATTTACTTTGAGGCTTCAAAGCACATATATTTCAGTAATCCTTGGGTGTCATCCAGACGCAAAAAAAAGCGCCCAGACTTTTTGAGGTGCTGGCAAACGGAGAATATTTAGGCGCAAAAGGCGCCTGGAGCCCTGCTAATTTCGAACCCTGTCCGAAAGGCGAGCAGGAGGAGGCCTCAGCAGTCCAGAAATCTAATTCCAACTTATCTGTGTTCATAAACATATCGGGTGACTTTGTACACGTCACTCCCTCTCTCAACCGTTGACTCCCCATCTGTTGAAAGAGGAATTATTCTCCAAATCCCAAGACTGTTTGCCAAGATGAGTAACAGGTCCTTAAATATTTGAGTGCAGAATCTGGCGTCGTTCTGCTTACTCGATAATCTGTTTAAATGCACAGGTGTTGCGGCCGCACATACATATATACAGTGGTACCTCAGGTTACATACGCTTCAGGTTACATACTCCGCTAACCCAGAAATAGTGCTTCAGGTTAAGAACTTTGCTTCAGGTTGAGAACAGAAATCGTGCTCCGGTGGCGCAGCAGTGGCAGGAGGCTCCCATTAGCTAAAGTGGTGCTTCAGGTTAAGAACAGTTTCAGGTTAAGTCTATATATATATATATATATATATATATATATATATATATATACACACACACACACACACACGTATATATATACATATACATACACACACACATATAATATTATATATATATATATATATGTGTGTGTGTGTGTGTGTGTGTCAGGGAACTGACATCGGAGCTAGAGGTGGAGGGAAGGCTCTCAAATGATGCTGGAGAAGGGCCCAGCAGGGAGAGAGGCAGCTCAGCAGATGGGGAAGCAATTCAGTGCAACACCAGGAATAAGGAGGGGCAGATGGGGGAATCGGCGAGAGGGCTCCCAGACTCTTCACCGGACACCAGCGGGGAGAGCACGGGTCCTCCGCTACCCACGCCCTCCCTGCGCAGAAGACTTCCGCGCAGAGAAAGTAGGAGGAGACTGGGTGTCAAACAACTTTTATGTTGGAAAAGGTTTAAGAAACGCCCACTGACGGATTCTGCTAGCGACTGAGGCAGCCACGAATTGAAGGGCTGTCCAGACAGAAAGGTTTAACAAGGCAACATAGCCAGGAGAGGCGGCAACTTACGCACGAGCAACCCCATACCATTATATATATGTATATATATATGCATGCCTATTCTGACCTCATTTTCTTAAGGGTGACACAGACAATACATAACGTAAGAATATTCTTCACAACTGAGAGCAGGGCAGTGGGGTGCGTTATGCGAAGACAAGCGACAACAATTAACATTATTTACCGGTCCTGTTCACGCTGCACAGAAAAAGCATTTTGGTTCTTGAAATTCATTCCGATTGTGCAGATAAAATATAAGAGTTCTGCAGGATGTGTTGCTAGTGTGTGAAAACAGTCCAGCTCCAAGGATCCCCCTGATAGTGGAGATATCAGATGTTATCCTGGCACCCGTGTAGCTTCACTCGGTTGCAAGTGTCCGGGTGCCGGGTGCGAAACACACTTGGCAAATTTCGAACCCAGCCTCGGAGGAAAGGCGGGGTGGGCAATGTGGCAACAAACAAACCTCTCTAGCTCTCTTCTGGGACCTGGAAGCAACAATCAAGAGGACCAAGGAAGTATGGGGAGTTATGCGCCCCAGATAACCCCGGGACCAGAGCGCCGTCAGCAGGGCTCAGATTGCGAAACTTTAGCCAAGCACCTTCCAGGAAACCTGACCTAGATGCATGAATAAGGAAAAAGTTTCCTAGTCGGTCCTGACGCGCCGAGGCTTAAACATCCTGACACCCTGAACTTTGCGAGCAAATACTCCATTTCCAAAGAGCAGGGTAGGATCAAGAGATTTGGCAAACTGCCGGTAGGGCAGCTCAGCGCTCACCCAAGAACCACAGGCTAAGGAAGGCTGCCAGAAGCTTTTGTTCCTCAGGGCCTCGCCCTGAGACAACCAACTACGCCCAAATTCCGAAGTCAAGATGGATCAGAGAACCGGAAACAGACGAGAGGAAAATCCTGCAGGTTTCGCAACGGTCGGCTTCCAAGAAACAAGACCCCCAATCAGGGGCGTACGAAGTGGGGGGCGGAGGGGGCGGGCTGACCTGGGTGCCACTCTGGGGGGGGGGTGATAGGGTGGCCCCAGACTCCCCCCCAGCTGTAGAGCGGCCGAGGGCGCGCGGCGTACATACGGGCTGCCGTTCTCGCACAGCGACCGTACGGGCTGCAGCGCGTGCGCACTACATATGTACAGGATATGCGCACTACTCTGTACAGGATGCGCACTCTGTACGGGATGCCGCACATGCACACTCTGTACAGAATGCATGCTCCATATGGGATGCCACACATGTGCACTCTGTACAGGATGCGCGCTCCGTACAGGATGCTGCACATGCGCACTCTGTACGGGATGCGCACTCCGTATGGGATGCCACACATGCAGTCCGTACAGTCACCGCACATGCGCACTCTGTACGGGATGCTGCACATGCACAATCCGTACGGGCTGCCCGTACTGGGGGTCCCGAGCCCTCAAAGTACCATATTTTTTGCTCTATAAGACGCACCAGACCACAAGATGCACCTAGTTTTTGGAGGAGGAAAACAAGAAAAAAAATATTCTGAATCTCAGAAGCCAGAACAGCAAGAGGGATCGCTGTGCAGTGAAAGCAGCAATCCCTCTTGCTGTTCTGGCTTCTGGGATAGCTGCGCAGCCTGCATTCGCTCCATAAGACGCACACACATTTCCTCTTACTTTTAAGTAGGGAAAAAGTGAGTCTTATAGAGCAAAAAATACGGTAAGTCAAGAGCATTTCCTCCCTGTAAGACTGCTGAAAAAACCTTCCAAATAAACTGGGCTGGCTCCTTTTCACTTCACACAGTGACTCAGAAAGGAGAGAGACGGGGGTCAACAGGATGTAGCCCCCAGTGATTAAAAACAGCGTGCCTCTGACCATGCGCAAAGACCCATGCTACATGTTTCGGCCTGCATGACTATTTATAAGCAGCCAGTTCCTACAAAATATCAAGGCAGTGTATGGGCAAAGGTATTAAAAACATCGCAAAAGTTTAAAATCTTAAAATAGTAAAAACCACAAAGGCACAGAACAAATGACCCAGACTGAGTGGAATTAATTGACTGAAAACAGAAGTCATTTTCAGCAGGCAACATTTGGGAAACTGAGGGGAGGGTTCCTGGATCACAGGCAGCAATCTCTCCATAAACATGAGCTTTTCCATCCATCTCTCTCTTCAAAAAAACAAAAAACAAAAAAACAAAACAGCCAAGGACGACCTTTTTCTGGTATTTAAGACGCCGCACTCTGACACCAGAAGCCTGCGATTCCAAGGCAAAACACATCCGCACATTCCCCGCTAAAAAAACTCATCATTCTCCTTGACTTGCCAACTGAAAAGTGCTAAGATTCATTACCAGCCTTGAAAACACCAAGTCCGCAGATTTCTGGGTATTATTTTTTTTTAAAAAAAAAACCACCCTCTTCATTTTCATTTTAGAATATCTTTATCCTCAACCCAGCCAAGGAGCTCCAAGTGTCGTGAAATGCTTCTCTTCCCATTTTCTCCTCACGACAAACCTGTGAGGAAGGACGAGCGAAGAGAAGAGCGATTCGCCCAACGTCCCCCCCAGAAAACTTCGTGGCTCAGCAGAGATTTGATCCTGGGTTTCCTTGGTCCAAACCCAAAACCCTAACCCGCTCTAACCACTACACATGCTGACCTTGCCTCCACACACCTATGCAAGCAAATCCCCTCCTTTCCACTCTTAAAAAAAAAAAAGAAGGATGCAGTCCGTCCCCCCACCCCCGAGTTTCTCTGAGCCTCTCAACCAGGAGGGGAAGTGATTATTATTTCATTTTTATCCTGCAAGGAGCTCAGACTGTTCTTCCACTTTAACCCTCACAACCTTGTAAGGTAGGCCAGGTGAGCTAGGAGGGGTAACCTAATGAACTCATAGGAAGATGGCTATGTTTTCCCTTCACTATCAGAGGTAGTAAACCTCTGGATACAGTGGTACCTCTGGTTAAGAACTTCGTTCGTTCTGGAGGTCCGCTCTTAACCTGAAACTGTTCTTAACCTGAGGTACCACTTTAGTTAGGTACCGCTGCCACCGCAGCACGATTTCTGTTCTCATCCTGAGGTAAAGTTCTTAATCCGAGGTACTGTTTTTGGGTTAGCGGAGTCTGTAACCTGAAGCGTCTGTAACCCGAGGTACCACTGTACTCGTTACTGGGAATAACAAATGAGGAGAGCGCTGTTCAGCCTGCGGACTGTCTCGCCAGAGTGGTGCATGCTGTAGTTATCTCCCGCTTGGACTACTGCCATGCGCTCTATGTGGGGCTACCTTTGAAGGTGACCCGGAAACTGCAACTAATCCAGAATGCGGCAGCTAGACTGGTCACTGGGTGCGGCTGCCAAGACCATATAACACCAGTCCTGAAAGACCTACATTGGCTCCCAGTACGTTTCTGAGCACAATTCAAAGTGTTGGTGCTGATCTTGAAAGCCCTAAATGGCCACGGCTCAGTATACCTGAAGGAGCGTCTCCACCCTCATCATCCAGCCCGGACACTGAGGTCCAGCTCTGAGGGCCTTCTGGAGAAACGGCCAAAGTTAGGACCATGTGTATGCTATGAATCTGTAGAAGTGTAAGAACGGCAGCATATCGAGCACCGAAACCCACCTCCTGAGAAGCTCAGTTGCATTTCTAAGCCAAAGGGCTGCAATGGTTGGGCTTAGAAGTGTGGGGTTCATGGTTTGCAAAATGTGAGAAACCCAAGAGGCTGGGCATATGACATTTCTCATAGGGGGGCTGCAGATGCTCCCTTCTTAATGCGCATGTGAAGAATCCAGTCCCCATATGTGCATCTTAATAATAAGTAATAATAATAGCCTCAAAGCTCTAAATGGCCTCGGCCCTGTATACTCAAAGGAGTATCTCCACCCCCATCGTTCAGCCCAGACCCTGAGATCCAGCTCCGAGGGCCTTCTGGCGGTTGCCTCCCTGCGAGAAGTGAGGTTACAGGGAACCAGGCAAAGGGCCTTCTCGGTGGTGGCACCCGCCCTGTGGAACGCCCTCCCACCAGATGTCAAGGAAATGAACAACTATCTGACTTTTAGAAGACATCTGAAGGCAGCCCTGTTCAGGAAGTTTTTTTTTAATGCTTGACATGTTTTCATATGTGCTGGAAGCTGCCCAGAGATTGGTGGGATAGAAATAATTCAGGCATAAGAGAAACTCCTGTGGTTTCCAGCAGGGTTAGAAATTAGCCAGGCGCCAGGCGTGTTTCGCTACTAGCATGGGTGCAACTGCGACTATGTGGAGATTTCAGGGCACCAGGTTGCTGACCGCAGTTTAAAAACCTCTGCCTTAGTCCATAGCTAATTCCATTTCTGCCTCCACTATGTGTATTTCTCCTTCTTGCATCCTGGGACGAGCAAATTGTTGTAAGAGCAAGCATCAGCTGAGTAATGTAGTTGAAATCGTAGAATTGTAATGTTGAAAGAGATCCCTAGAGTTATATAGACCACCTTCTTCTTCTTCGGCGATCCCTTGTAGCTGAGTAAGATTGTCTTCCATAAACACGGTTTTAACAATGAGTCCGTAAGTGACTGTGGAGGCCAATTCTGGATCCACACATCCTTCCACAGTGGGGACATAGGTTTCCGGGCAGGAGTTGATCACGGTGTGGATTT